GCCGGCGCGGCGCGGGCGGTGGGAGCTGACTGACAGCCCCGCCGCCCAACCCGCGCCTCCGACGCCAGAGCCGCCCTGGGCGCCCCGCCCCGCGTAACTGCCGCGGCGGGGGGCGGCACGCGGGTTCCTGTCAGGACACGGCGGGACTGATGAAGCGCGTGGAAGCGAGCCCGGCCTCCCTCCCGCCCGCGCGCCATGTTCTCCTCAGCGCTTGCCTTGGCCCGCAGCAGCTCCTCCGCCGGCAAGCTCGGGCGCAGCCGCGGAGGGGGGAGGTAAAGTTCGCTCCGGAGCTGCCGCCAGGCCCAGGGGTGAGGAGAGATCCCCGGGGGCGGGGATCCGGAGCCTCCCGTCACCTCAGCTACCCCGCGCTCGGTCAATGGAGCCGTACCCTTGGCTGCCTCACGGCGCCGATGAGGTGCTGAGGGCGGGCCGGGCGACCTCGGCCCTGCGCTTCTCGGTTTCCTGCGTATTTTTAAGCAGGATAATAACGTGAGCAGCAAAAGCAAGCGGATGAGATGTGTTAGGAAAAAGAGCATCAGCAAGATTTTTTTGTTTCCCCATTAATAAAGTTCAAAAAACGTTATCCTCTTGAAGGAGGGTCCTTAGGATGTTTGTTTGTTTTGTGCCTTTTAAAATACAATTCTACACTCTTCTGTGCTGAGGCCACCAGCTGATGAGGCTCAAAATCCCAAAGCCCGTTTGAAAATGATAGGCCATATAAATTATGGAGAACAAAAAGGCTTATTTTGCTGGCTCCCCATTTTTTTTTTTCCGTTTCATATATCTGCTTGTTTTGGTTAAAATTTCTACTGAGTGGTTTTATACCATGCAACAAGACAAGAAATTGGCCCCAAATGCATGGTGGTTAATAAGTAGTTACTGCATATTATGGATTGGTTACTAAGTACTCCTTCCTTTAACCTGTAATAGTGATTTTGCAAAACCCGAGTTGACTCGTCAAGAGGCTTTGATATTACCAGTGCATTTTTTTATTCTCCTGGCTTCTTACACTGAAGCATTTTTCATTTAAATAATGTGTTGCAGGTATCATAGATGAGATAAATGTGTTCCTAGGTTATCTGAAGTGGAAGGATGTGCAATCATCTTCGTGAGTCTGAGCTTTCATTTGTTTCTTGTTTTATTAATACAATGAAACATAGTTTCATGACAAATGGAAGAGCAAGAAATAAAAATAGAAGGTCACCTTAAAGAAAAATTTCAGGACAATATTTTAGCACACATGAAAAAATTATCTTAAGTTTGACATAATTATTTTATTTGTCTGACAAATATGCTGAACTGAAAGACGTCACCCACAGCAGGCCTCACCTGCATCTCTCTGCTTTGCTCCGCTGCTCAGGTACACTAACAGTAGTTTCTGGGTCTCAAGGCACTCTTTATTCTGGCCTACCAATTTTGTTCAGCTTCAGTACTGTTCACAGCAGTGATAAAACCTCATACAGGAGCCTGAAAGCTAACTTGACTGCTCTGAGTCTCCTGTGTTCTTAGCATGTTTAAATGGTTCTCTTCAGCTGAAAGCTATTACTCACATGTTCATACAGTAATAGTAATTTAGAAAACGTGGAAATGAAGGTGAAACAATTAAAAGTCCTGCAGAAGATGGTGTTGCTTTCATTCCATATTTTCTAAGCACAAGAAGGAATACCATATTGAAGGCTTCCAAGAAACTTAATGGTTTTCAGTGTTAATATCCAGTTCTTGACAGGACTGGATATTAAGTTGAATTGAGATTTAGATTCTGCTTTGCAGTGTTTGGTTATGCTGATGAACCAGAGTGATACACAATTAAAGTTAAAAAAAGTAGAAATGCTACTCTTTGATATGATTTGAGGAAAGAAACAGTATGGCTCAGGCTTGCAGTATTTTTGCCTTCAGGAATATCTGACTAAAATGGCAAGTTTCTGTGGCAACAGTGGCTTGGTTGCCATAGTGCTCCATCTTCTTAATTTGCATTGAAAAAATTATAACTCAGGTTTCTTTAAATAAAACTAATTTTTTTTTTTTTTTTTACTTCCCTGTTTAGAGGTGAGCTAAAGTTCAGTATCAAATGTCTTGTGCCAGGAGAAACTTCCTACCATTATTTAAAAGCAAATGAGTCTAATTCCAGGGGCATTGTATTAAGGTGCAGTGATAGGTTAAAATGTAGCAAATGCTATATTTAGATTTTTTCAGGGTATAATTTTATCTGTTGACTTGTACAGTCAGCAGCTCTGATTTTCTTTGCAAATGCATTTTTGTGCTCATTTTTATGTTGCTTGTTTAGGCCATGATCCAGCTCCTGTGAAAGTCAATGACAGTTTCAGCAGACTTCAGTAGGTTTCAGATAAAGTGAAATGTTTATTTGAGCCTAAAAGGTCCATTTGAGAAAGGCCATTGGATGAAACAGGTTGCAATAAGGCCACTCAAGCACA